ATTAATTAGTAATTGGACCTCGTGTCGTACAATTCAGGAAGTAATCGTGCTCGTAATTTCAAATCGGCCTTGCGCTTCGCGCTCGTCCGATTTTGAAATTACTCGCGTGATTACGGCCATGAATTGTACTCCACTCGGTCCAATTACTATTACTTATCAGACAAATTAAAATTTGTCTTCGAACTTGTCCTCGACTCCACACATATGCAACAGAACGAGATTAGCAACATTTTGAAGCATTTCTTGTACGTGAGTCCATCTTGACCTCAACCATGCGTCAAAGTTTCAGTTGGTAGTACGTTAAAATGCGGGAAGGGTCCCGCGGGACTCCCATATGGAAAGGTTGGAGATGCTTGTCGTCTCGCTTAGGGATGTAAATCAAGGTTTTTGGTCTCACCTATGGTGTTCAGAAAGAAACGCCACTTTTTTTAGCTGTCAAAGTATTTTTTAGGGTGCACTCGAAAAAATAACAAAAAAATCTTCTTTCCGTTTATAGGCTCGATTTCTGCCGTTCTTTCGAGTCCGGTCTTGTAGCGCGGGTTCCTTTCCCGAACAGCGGCTGATAATCGAGCTTATTTATCTTTAAGAGATCAAATAAAGCTCGAGCCGGGTCCAGATTGGTCTCCTTTGGGGGTTCAAATCAAATTTCCTACGAGCATCCCTGATCTTTTCATAAAGGGCGTCCCACTCAGGGAAAGGTTTGTTAGTGTTAATACTATTTTAACTATTTCGGGCTAATGATACTATTGGAACGCAGGAAAAAATTTACCTCTCAAGCTTATCAATTATTGATAAAGTCTAAACACAGGAGATCATAACCGTGACGGTGTTTGGATATCTCATCTTAATTAGCAAGATTTTTATGATATCATATCTCCCTTTTGTCCCTAGTTTTAGTTGCAGTTGAGAAGATATATCAAACACTCAAGACAGAGTTTGGCCAAATTTCCAAACACCTCGAAGCTCGTCAAAAATACTCCGCTGCGCGTTGTATTTTTAACCCTCCTCTCGGTGTTTGGAAACGTGGTCAACCACAGTCTTTCGAGTTTTGTATGGTACTTACTCAACGTCCCCAAGGGTATACATCACCGTGTCCGACGTCGCCCGGGCGACGCTTACCATGGCCACTTGGCCGGCCACCATTATTGTATTCACCAACACGATTTTCGCCACTGCAAATGCCACAGCTCTTCTTGCAGTTTTCTAAAACGAGAGAACAATTCGGAGGACAATGTAATCATTGCTGGAAGTAACAGCCGGTCAACGGACGTTTTCCCACTAATTTTACATCATGATTGGATATCATGACCGAGCACCAAGCTTATCTAGCTTTTAYTGGTGAAGATCCTGTTTCTAGACAGTATTTGCTTTGATATCCGGTGCGGATCATATCCGTGGGTTGGTTTTCTCTTAATAACCACTCCAGACCTTCACGAAACTTGAAACAAACTTACGCACTAATTGACAGCTCCTTACTGCGTATGTTGGTTATGCTCATGATTGTGCTTATGCTCCATCCGAGGCGCTAGTGAGCGTCACTGTCTTCATTTTTATTTAGAAAATAACTGAGCTACTACTCGCGCGCTCTCATTGGTCGATAGGTGTGTTTAAATGAGAGTATATAAACACGGTTGTGACGTTTTAGATTCGCGCGTATTTTTGAGAGTTAACACTCGGGGAACTGGGAGAATTCTCGAAAGTTATGCAAACCCTCTACTACGCCTCGGGTTTGCATAACTGTCTCGAATTCTCCCAACCCTCCTCGGGTTTAGATCACCCTATGTAAACACGGAAAAAGTGCTGTATTGCTTAAATCTAAATCTAATTTTCGTTGTCAATTTATCATTGCTGGCCAATTATACTATAAAGAACAGTT